CTTGGACAGCGGCTGGGGTGTGGGAGTGGGAAGGGAGAGTGAGGTCGACGACTCAGCGCACTTTCCTCACTATAAACAATCCGACGCGCTTGAAGCTATTACGGTGCGCTAGAATCCGTGGCTTGGAAGGTTGCCAACTGACTGGGTAACTTGGTCCTCCTCCTTAACTGGAGGCGGTCTGAGAGTCAGGCTGCAATGGCTCCTTTTTAATGTGGCAATTATGGCACTCCCATCACAGAGTGGGATCCGAGCCAGGCGTTGACGGCACGCCCAGGTGCGGCTTCGGCCGTGCTAGCCTCCAAATCTCTCTTGTGTTGGTTGAAATCCTGGTTATTTGTTGTGTGGACCAGGGGGTGTGGTGTAACGCCAAGGTGAGGATCCGTCCGAGCCATCCACCTGCGGCCTCTCTCGTCCCCGGTCTTCTTGACACCGTCTTGACACCGGGCTCAGGCGGGGGAGGAGGAGAGAGTGTAGGTAGATGCAGAGCAAGTCTACCGGCACTATAAACCCCTGCGCAAGTCACCGTCCCTGCTCCCACAATGCAGTCAGTGGGGCACACGGTGGACATCGTCGAAATCGACGGTCGAAATGTCGTGTGTGTGTGTGTGTGTGTGTGTGTGTGTGTGTGTATGTTTGTCCCTCAAAACGCGCCAGGTGTTAGATGCGCTGCACCAACACGGGGGCAGGCGTTATCTTTGCGCAATAACAAATGCCAAAATTTCCGGGGTGCGCTGGCGCGGACTCGGGGAATCCGACTGTCTAATTAAAACAAAGCATTGCGATGTCTGCTGATCGGCTTTGACGCAATGTGATTTCTGCCCAGTGCTCTGAATGTCAAAGTGAAGAAATTCAACCAAGCGCGGGTAAACCGCGTGAGGTTACCTGAAGCTGCTGTGCTATTTGTCTCGCATGCGACTGTTCTGTTTCCGAAGTGATTTAGTCCGGGATTATTCCGACAGCCTTTCGCAGCTGCGCGCCCCACCTCCAGCCGCAGGCAACGCCTAGCTCATTAGGCGGATTTGCTAGCTCGTCTCGCTATATTCACAAGGCCGGAGTCCAGTGCATATTTTCGGGTGGCTGGCGCATTGCCTCTTTTCCAGATCCACCGTTGCCAGCTGGAATGCTGGACTTGTGGCGGGAGCTCTGTACCGCCCCATTATTCGGGACCTGCGGCCTACTCCAAATCCACATACTGTTGCTTGGGATATCATCCGTCCTATCAGCCCGACTGAGGTTTCTCGAAATCTCTGCCTAAAGCAGGGTTCAGCGTCGGGCATTGATGGTCTGTTTGCGAAAGATCTGCTGCTCTGTCCGCCGGCTGGCTTTGCTGGTTTTTTGAATGTGATTCTAGCGATTGGCCATCTCCCAACCCAACATTGCTTTTGCAGATCCGCCTTG